ATGCTGTGCCCTAACACCTTCTCCCTGAGTTCTTTATTACCCTTCTTTCTACCAAATTCAATTAAAGGGTTTGTTCTTCCTTTCTTATGAGCTCTTAATTTCTTTACTGCCCAACAGCCTGTTGAAACAAGCATGCCAATGATAACATGCACGTTGTAATAGATAGATAGATAGATAGATAGATAGATAGATAGATAGAAGTAATTACACAACCAGCGTTTGTGAAAGCTGCATAGCATCATGGATACATAGCCTATTTATGATTTTATTAGTAAAAGTCAATAAGCACGCATCGTCACTACAGGAGTATAGGCCTCTCTGGGTCTAGATATTGGCCATAAGGTGGCTCATTTTGTCTATAAGTTAAGCCAAGCTCTGTTATTCCAACTCCTTAATAACCCTAATTTCCCTGCATAACTTTTCCACCAAATTCTACAAAAATCTCTATATAAGCGTTATATAACTATCTATATAACGTATTTTTCTTCCCTCTTTTAAACGTTTTTGTCTGTAATCTAAATCTATCATGATTTCCACAGTATGTAAAGAAGGACATTCATAATGTCCTTGGTGGAGATGAATATATTAGAAAGTTGAATTAGTATTAGTGTAAGAGTGATGCACATGTTAGCCACTAGATGTCTCTGTTTAGTAAGAATAGACGCCACCTCGGGCCTTCGCAGAGCAGTAACTTTCACATACACTTATTTCTCTGTTTATACAACAGAATGCTAATATTAGCTTGGAAATACTACTAATACTGCGACAGTTAAAAACAATTAATTTTCCCTCTCTGTTCGCTGCACCGACTGAGATCCATCACATGGCCTACCTGCGAGCAGCAGCTGCACCGACTCAAAGTGTGGGATGTGGATAAATGCTAAAGAACCAATCAAAGAGATGTGAGCCGGCGCTGAGTTTCCCTATTGGACCACGCTCCTGTCTGTCACGGTGGACGAACCGAGTGAAGCAGCGGTGAGCACTGGCTGGCTGCAGTAAAGAGATGTGAATATAAATGTTTACTATGCCACTAAATCGTGTAAGTAACTGTTTTATCTTTTGCGAAGTGCTGTTGTGCTTTTACCTGCTGCAGGTGCAATTGACTCTAACGTACTTTCAGCTTCTAATTAATGCATGACATCAAACTGAAGCTGATACGAGGCTAATGCGGAGTTTTATGCGTTCAGTTTGAATTTCTAACACATTAAGCTAAACACTATTCGATTTGAGTTGTAGTGGACAGCAGTAAAGTAACCCGCAGGATAGTGTAATTGTGCTGCCATCTTAAATCTCACAATTGCGTGTTGCAAGGTGACAGTAACCCACGGGATTATGTTATGATGTAAACAGTTAAGAGATGTTGCGCAATGCTGAGGGAATCCATCGAAGCACATGTAAAATATGTGCTTGTTTTGCTTGTAAACATTGCAGATGGCAGCCATAGCATTCGCTTCTGCATGTGTCGTCACCTTGGTTGACACTCTCAGGTTTTATGCGGCAGCTTGTGAAATGTTGATGAAATGCGGCTTAGAAATGTCTATCAGTTATCAACTCATATATTAATACAAAAAAAAGAGGTGCATTTAGAGAAAACTGGTTTAGGAAGGTAAGTGTATAATATAATTACTAGTTTAATTACAACTTATTTAGTTTTTTTTATAAATAAATTGATTTAACAGAAATATGGTAGACCCACTGTTGTGCAAAACTGGATTCAAATAGTCTGTAGTGCCCTAGCTGTGAGAGAATGTCTATTCTACTCATACTATATGGAAACATTATATTTTATCTAAAGCTTGATTTCACACAAGAATATAAGTAGTTTGGCATCAGCAGTGCATAAAAGTCATTAGTGGGACTAACATGTTAGTGGAGGTTTATCTTTATTTATAGCTGTGTGCTGCTTTCTCTCTGACAGTATCTGGACTGGCCAGGTGATGAATAGGCAGAGATCCTCCTCTGCAGTCCGAGCCCAATAACTCTGTATGGGGGCTGACCACTTACTCAGAGTGCTTGAATGATTAACATGGCACCCATAATGGAGGGCACACACACTGTGTTGCTCCTATATTCACCCATCCGTGAGCTAAGCAACATCAGCCTGTATTTCCCCAAGAGGCGGGCCCCGAGTTTCAAGTACAAGAGCCGCGCCCCTCATTCAGAAAGGGCCGGCAATGATCATGACTGGGGAAAAGAGGATCTCGCAGTGTCCGAACAAAGAGGCCAGTATTCCGGCTCCTCAGGCGAACTCCTCAACTGCCAGCAGGCAACAAAGGAAGCAGTTGCAGAGCTCTGCTGGCTGGCGGCGGAGCACCACCAGTTGCTGGCGGATCTCTTATCGCTCTGTAGGGTTTGCGCCAACAAAGTCAGGATGGGTAACCAGGATGGAAAACTCCAGGATTACATGGAGGGTCAGGAAGTTCACCTTGGAGGTCAGGTTCTCAGCAGCAGCAACTATTCACTTACTGTGCCTCCAGAGCCAAAGAGAGCTACATCCAAGAGCAAAAAGCTGAAGAAGTTGGGAGGCAAGAAGCTTGACAGTGCTGAGGATTTCCTGCACGGTAAGATGAAGAGGAAAGTTACAAGTGGATCTTCATCTATTGAGGGTCCTGATCACAACAGTGTGTCCATGTCTTCATCCTCAGTAGTGAAGCAGATCCCAGGTATCCCGGATTCTGTCCACGCGTCTGACAGCCCTTTCACCGGCTCTTATGTCAGTGCAGTCAGTAATCCCATCCTGCCCATGGAGGAACCGTTCCAGAGCGCTCGCGAGGGTTGGGACTTCATGGACGACAACCAGACATTTGACCCTGACATTGATTTCTGTAACGACTTCTCAGAGTATGATGGTGAGCTGGGTTATGAGTCCTCATTTTGCAGCCTGATGGAGGGTCTGACCAGACGGGAAAGTGGCAGCAACCTTCGACCAATTAAGAAGATAGATTACTTGGCTGAGACATTATCCGAGAATGCATCAACAGTCAAGTCGGCTCAGCAGCTGTACAGGGAAATCAAACAGAGTAACACAGGGGTGAGGGTGGTGGCCAAAGTCCAAGATGTGGAAGGGAGAGTGCAACATGTCAGCCATACAAGCCCAGACGCGACAGGGCCAGCCGTGCTACATCCGGGGACTAGCAGCTGCCAGCAGGAGCATGGAAAGTGGAGAAGACCAAACAAAGACCACATGCTGGGAGTCAGTAAAGAGAAGACATGTAACAAGCTTTCTGAGGGGCTACGGTTGCCCTATGCCATACCGCCGAACCTTATCCCAAATCCCACACAAAAAGCCCCACTTCCCCTTCTCTTGCTGACGTCTTCAACGCATCTTTCCCTGCCTCCAACAGTCTCCAGAGCATGTCCCCAGTCCTGTCCCCTCTGTCCTCCAAGCATGCAAGCCCACAGCTCAACCACCGCATTGTACTGCTCTCAGATCAGGATGTGGACCACGAACAAGACAACTCCAGTAACGCCGGTGAGCCCAAAATCCTCACAGAGGTCATGGACAAGAATGGCAACAAGCGGACTGTCACTCATCTGGATCTGAACCTCAGCAGGCGGCCGAGCAACTCCAAGTGGAACTCCTCCAGCAACTCCACAACAACAGGTGAGATGTTTGAACACATGGATTCATGTTCAAACTCCCTGCCTTGATGTAAATGTTGACACCAGTGCTTTTATCATCTTAGTAGCATGAAATGGTTGTCAAAATATACCCTTGATCTGGCATTGCTGTTGCTGGAAGAAAAAGATTCCTTGAGAGAGAGATTAAAGTGTGTGTGTGTGTGTGTGTGTGTGTGTGTGTGTGTGTGTGTGTCAGACTTACTGTCTGAGGTTGTTGTTGAAATGCTCCAGTAATTACTCTGCAGCATTGTAACTGACAAACATTTTCCACAAAGAAAGTTTTACTTTGTCACTCCAGCTGTTATCTAATAAACTAGCTAGACCAGTAAATAAGCATTGTTTTCCAAAATGTCTCCGTAGACTGCTGTGTACTTGGCTGAGTGTGACCACAAATTAAAAACTACCCAGCAGAGTTGTGCAAGGGGCAAGCAGGGCCTGAGAATAGTTCCCCTGATGATCCATTTTAACTCTCTCAGCGCCACTGGGAAGGCAGAGATTAGTGGGAGTGTCCCAGATCAAAGGCTCAAAGTTGACACAGGGTTCGACCTGACCAGGGTTCTCGTGAGCACAGTGTTAACTGAAGCATTGCCAATTTGGACTTTGAGGGATCTGCTGTCCCTCCCCTAAACCCACATCCTATCCACTTCACAGGAAAATGACAAAGGATCAGGGACCCAACGGGAACAGGGGCTAAGGAAGAAAGGATTAGGATTTCCCTATTTGCAGAACTCTTTTCATAATCTGCAGTATTGTATTTTATGCTTACAATGACTAAATGTTTTTTATCACCTGCAACATAATAATGTTGCAAGCATAGTTCAGAGTTTATCAGTATAACTTTTCATTAATGACCATTGGTCACTTTGGCTCGGCTTACAGTCACTAGTCTCACCACCCAGGCCACTCTGTGACCTTTAGTTCTTTGATCAGCAGGAGAGGTTCCTGTGTTAAAGTGTACACACCTTCACTAGAATCCCTCCAAACTGCACACTCCAATGATGTTGTTGCTGTTGGGCTGATGATTTGAAGGAAGTCTCATTATTATTGCATTAGCTACCACTGTAATGTGGTCAATCATCCCTTTCTGTCAGTGTAACACAATCTTTGCTTTAATCTGCAGCAGCAAACATATGGCCTCCCACTGATAATGCAATTCACCAAGAGACCATGTGTGATGGTTGGACTTTTCTAAATCACAGTGTAGACAGTTTTACCTGTAATTTAGGAACTCTGCTGCCTTTTAGGAGGAAGCACCAGAGTATTTAAGTTGTTACATCATAGACCAGTTCAACCAATACAACAAGCAATGCTCAGCTCAGCAACAGCCAGAGGGAGAAGGAGAGCCGAGCTGTGTGGAGCTAGGCTAACTGGTGGATAGGGGAATGAATAGTCTGGCTTCACTCATTTAGACATGATTTGGATCAATTCCCACTGTGACACTGTCCCTCTGTGTCCTTGCCTAGGCATGCACAGACACCACACACATTACATCATTACACACACACACACACACACACACACACACACACACACACACACTTCACATTGTCTACCGTTAGACTCCACTCCCTCTTTTTTTTTTTTTTTTTTTTTTTTTATTAAATCCAATATTTTATTTTTAATTTCCTGATCTTGTGCCTGGGCAAATATCCCAAGTCCTTGTCAGATGTAACTGTGTGATATTATAACCCATAAGCTGTCTGTATGAACTGCTGACAGAGCAACATACACTTGTCATTGTTGTCAACATCATGCTAACCAAATGCTTTGTGCTGCGCAGCCTTCACAATGAAGGCTCAAACCTTTAATCTTAAAAAAAAAAATCCTTCTATTATGCTGCATCTTAGCTGTTTACTATAACTCCCTTGTGTTGCTTGATAATTGAATACACTTCATGTTAACACAGATAAATGAACATCACAGGGTCCAGCCAAAAGGACTAAGTGGGTCAGTGTGAAGCCCGGCCACAAAATGTCGAACTAATTATGATCCAGACTCTTTAATCTGTGCTCTCTTATTGAAGCTCAGTGCTTATTAATGAGTGTGATTATTATGCAGATGGGAATGGAAACAAATTTTATTTTTTGCTTCATGTGCTAATGCTCTTGTACCGCAATCTGTGTAGTAGAAAGGTGTGCATGTGATTGTTTTTATATGCTTACACAATATCTATGTAATGTTCTGTATGCCGATTCGTTTCTCTCTATGTTAGCGCTTGTGTTACGTGTTCTTTACACTATCAGCTTTTTGATGAGAACAGTTCACAGAAACACAATTTCACACAAGTCAAGAAACTTGAAACCTGCAATTAGATTAGATTTTTTTAATCTTAAACAAGCTACATACACACACATTATCACCTTTTAAGTGGACAAGGGAAACGTGTTATCAAACAGTTTCCTATTTACAGATCTAGCAGATACATGACAACACTAGCAGTCTTCACCAGCTCCTGAGGGAAGTATCTGGCTCTTTAGCTGCTACATGCTCCACACTATTAAGCAGCTAGCTGATAATTTTGTATGTCTGTCTGTTGGTGCTGTGCAGGTTGTGGCGTCAGTTTTTAGAGCTTTTTCGTTGGTCTTGACTGAAAACGATGACAAGAACGATGAGAGTGAACAAAAGCAGTAAAGTTGAAGGCCAGAAAACTACAACAACGAGCAAAAATACACTCTAAAACTCGTAGAGCTGAAGGCAACTGCAGTATCTGTGGGTTCTTCACTAAAAAATACCTTTTTACATTACCATTATAAACAATACTGATTATAGCAGCTTTAAAAGTCACTTTGCAGGCCAATCACCCATTAGTGTCTCTCTCTCTTGCTCTCTTTTTATCCAACCTCCGTCAGTTCCCTAGTTATTTTATTGACATATGGCAAGCTATACCATAATCAGATTAGCCAATACATTCCAGCAAGGTCATATGAAACTGATCAGTGCAGAGCAAGAGTGTATCACACTACACTCCCTGCTAACTGCCATTCACCACAAAGTGCCCTGCCATGCAACATTGTTCTACCCAGTGTTGACAGGGGTCAGCACTATTTGGATAATTAAGTGAATTCTGCCAAAACAGGCTAAGAGGGCTTCTCTGTCAGTCTGTCTCACATGGTTGGTCCAAGCTGCATACTTCCTACGGAGAAACAGGGCACAAAGGTCCTTTTCATATAACGTGTAACTTGTTTTTTTTTAATAAATTACTGCTACACTATGGCATATTTTAGCTATGTTCCATCTCATGCTTTTCAGTATGAGCAGCTTCAAAAGGCTTTACCTCAATGTCCCGCTATTTTAAACATACACTCACGAGGACTGAAGCGAACATAACCAAATTTCGTGTCTCCTAGTCAATGGCCTGCCAGGCCCAATGAAAGCACTCTTCCCTCTTCCTCGGTTCTGTTTATACCCATCAGCCTCCAGAACTGCATTTCAAATGAGTAATGATGACTCTGTGAGCATCATGTCATGCTACATTACTGCTCTGGCCCTCAGCACCACAGCACTCTTCCGTGAATTTAGACTTGTAGCTACCCTTTACATGGACCTAAGCAATGACAGCCAAACCAGTCACTCAATCAGCCAACCTGACAGCGGTGCACAGCCAGCAAGCCTGCGTGGAGAAACTGCTGTGACAGGCGTAAAAGAAACCAGGGTGATTTATAAATCCTGCATTTTTTTTGTGATTTATAAATCTATGATCCTCCTTCCTGGCTAAACGTGATGGAGGGGGGATGGAGGCTGCCAGATGCACTCAGCATGCCACATGGCCCAGTTCTTTTACTTTGAATGATGAGGTTATAGATTTGTAGTGGATAAAACGGGGCACAATGGGCAAAGCTGTTCCATCTGTAATATGAATGAGAAAATGTAGTATGGGAAGAGATAGACTAGTGTGAAGGCTCTGTCTTTATAGATATTCATATAGATAATTCTGCCTTATCCGGCCTGCAGTGTTTCCTTATTAATATCAAAGAAATGATTGGGTTCACTAATTCCTTCTTAGAAACTAAACAAGACAGTCAGTGCCTTTTTAAAGGTTTGAAGAATAACTTTGTGGTGTCTGATTTGTTGTGTACATCCTCCACAAAGCTTTCTCTGACCACTGGGGAAGTGATTACCAGCCAACAGAGTGACAGGTGGATTAATCCATCTACACTGACAACCGCCACCTGTCAGGATCACCCATTAGATGGCTTCTGAGCCTCCCCAAACACAGATACTGATAAAATGATGATGCTTACGTTGGCACAGAAACACCCAGTGTCATCAGTTATGGACACTGTGATTCTGCTTTTAGAGCAGCAGGGGGGAATTAAATGGCGATAAGTGCACTGTTTTCCCCAGGACTAGTGAGCTTAACTTACTGTGTGTGTGTGTGCATGCAAGAGTGACAAATGAAAACAAATGCAGTACCTTCATTACCCAGTGCATCTAAGTTTTGCTTCTCTATATCAGTTTACTGTCATTACATTGCAGTGCTGTGCATTATTTTACTGGGTCTTATTTCATAGCACACAGCAGTGACATCAGAGATTCACTGCAGTGTGTTTGACCACAGGAAGGCAGATGTTTCCTCTCCCTGTCCAGATGGTGGCAGTGTGTTCCACCTTGTACATATTGATTAGGTGACTGGCAGGCTGTCAATCTGGGGCGCAAAGGCAACCATGCACAAGCAAGCCCTTAAGGTTGTTTAACTGTAAATAGTAATGTTTTGAGAGTCATGAGGGAACTTCATGACTCTCAAAACATTAGCAAACATATATCAATAGGTGTTCATTGTTAGCTTATTTCTAATATATTCAATCATTTAGTTAGAACCAGTAACTGCGGAGAAAGCTGTTTCTGATCAGTAGTTTCTTTCCTTGGCCAGGACTGGGCTTTACTCTGCATTTGGAAGTGGGCCAGGCCACAGTCAGCAGTTCCCACTGCGGGACCATGCGGCGCAGCATTATCATAATGAAAAGTTATTAATCAAATCTTAAGTCCCAGATAACTGTAGCGACTGCAGGCATTTCTGCTGTCTCCTAATAACTGATTGTGGTAGAATACTGAAGCAGAATTTCAATGCTTCCATTTTTTAATGAAGCCCCCCAGATAGTTTTGTGTGTGTGTGTGTGTGTGTGTGTGTGTGTGGGCTTTCATAACTGAATTTAAAGGATTTGGCTGAGACTCAGACTCTGGGGAGCTGGGGTCTTTAGAAGTGGCTGCAGGGCAGCAAAAGAGTAATACCATATGTATGTCTTCAAGGATACTCATTACAATCGAAGGTTATGTGATATATTAGCAGCTTATTGAACAGGAAGTTAAGTGATTTTCTCAGTTTCCAGCTCACAATTGAGCCAGGTCAAGGTGTTGTCTTACCGGCAGAAGAAAAAAAAAAAACACCCTCCCAGCCCCCTTCACTCGTACAATGTTCCTCTCTCCACCTCCTTTTCCTCCTTCTTATTCTTTCACCTCTCTGTCCCTGCCCCAAATCTCTTAACTTGTACTTTTCCTCCCTTCTACTTGCTTGACTGACTCTCCTGAGACAGTTAATGCATGCATCAAGGCAAGATATATCATCTTCCTGTGCTCTGTGCCTAGTGAGGCACTAGGCCAGTTCCTGAAGTTAATACCATGTGATTTGTTGAGGGCATTACACACAAGGAAGGTTGTGCAGGCTGAGGCTGTTTCTGCAGTGTGTCACTGAGCACTAAATATTAAAGGCCAGATGCTCTGAAATGCACAGAATGAATCCGCCCTTCCCAACATACTGCAGCAAAAATAGCACAGAGTGAGGAATTTTTATTGAAAAAAAAACAACTTTTACCTTGTTTTGTTTTAGCTGTGTTTCCACAGCAGTCTTCATCATTACAGCCCACTCATAACTCTCTGTGTGACTGTCTGGTCAGAAGAGGGCAGTGTTTCCCAATCTAAATGAAGGAGTCCTGTATTTTCACTCCTTCAGGGCCTTTGGATGACTAAACACAGTTGCTCACACAAATCACACACACCTGACTTTATTATAGTACAGTGGGAGGGCTGAGCAACGCTGTGGCCCGGCTGTGTTACCGTGAACATGTCTTCAATGCAAATTAATACAAGACACTGGTATTTGTTTTTGAGGCCAGTGCTTTGCAGCCCTTTTTCTTTATTTGATCAGTGTGGCTTTTTTCTGGTGTTGACGATGAGAAGAGGACCGGCTAAGTGCAGATAAAAATAGCTGTGCGCCCTCGAGCCTGCAGCAGAACAGGGGTCTCTCTCTGCCTGTTTGATGCTAAAAGATTCTGATGCCTGCTTTCTACCCCGTTCCATCTTTTATTACCTGGGCAGGTTACACAGGAAAACAACATGCCTCTGTCAGTGCTACTTATTTGGGCTTGTCACACATGATCACACCTGTTATGCTGTTGTGTTTTTATCCATGCCTTGCAACACATACAAGAGCCTTAATTACCCTGTGGTCATGTGTTTGTTTGTGTGTCTCTGTAGAGGATTCCCTCATGCGTCAGGATGACATTTGGATGCTGGATGGTGATGATCCACAGCCCCTTTCCTGCGTTCCACGCCCTGATCACCTCGACTTCCTACGCATCACACCGCCCGAGGATGACATCATCGGGGACACACCCTACTGTCCCAAGCTGGAGTGCACGGTGAGGGCCCCTAACACATGAGCAGCACAAACACAACAGCAGAATTTGCTGGAATGCATATTTTCACACCCATAGCACTCCTTTTTTCCACCTCATGGGACTGGTAGGGATTTCTCTCCACTCAGGCATTTAATCACCTGATCAAGAATTCTTAGAAATGGATTAACAGGTCATGGATTCTAATCTGTAGACTGGGGTCTTAAGCCAAAACTGACTGATCATTCCAATCAAATCTCTTTCGTTCAGAGCAAAGACCATCTCTCCTTCTCTTGTAGCATTTTTTAAACCTAAATTTCAACGGCGCAGGCTGTTAGGAATAATTAGTATAATTGATCTCTCCTGTTATTGAGCAACACAAGATACTTTGTTTGCCGCAGAGCATGTGACTGATGTAATCCTACTGCACAGTCTTTGTGTCTTCTAAAAATAAGCCTGCAGCAAACAATGTATTGTTTGTTTCAAGGTGTTTGTGGGCTTTAATAATGCTAATCACTAGTGCCAATAAAGAACTTCTCTGCATTTCTAAATCATCTAATAGAATGTGAAAAACTGTTCCATCACTTAGTCTTTCCAGATTCCATCATGCTGTCTGGCAAAGGCATATCCTTGTGGCAGATGTGGCAGATTACCTGGGTGAGGTTTACGGGGCGTAGTGTATCAAAGCAAAGTGTTGTTTTTCCAAGACACAATAACTGCCCTGACTGTGAGCATAACAAGTTAACATACCAGCACAAAGGCCACGCTGTACAGAATTAGGCACTCTGTATTGTTGAGAAAGTGACAACCATCTCACATACTGGACTCCAGCACGGCTTTATCATCACCGTCATCCATTATCATTAGAAAAAAAAACACACCTCTATTGTACATGATGTATTCTAAGTGTGTTGTAACATGGAATGCAGAAGGTTGTGATGATGACACAATCAAAGCCTGTGGGCTAGACTTGATATTTTTTACATCTGTAATGTTAACATGATCTGCAACTTGTAAATTAATTTCACTTCTTCTATTTTTGAGTTCATATGTGTCAGACCTGTGTTCATATCACAGTTTAGTTGATCAGAGGGGCCTCTTCTAGTACATTTACAGTGTGTGTATGAAATACCATTGTTCTTGCATAACTTAATTCCTCTGCCACAGAAGCCTCCTTTCTATTCTATTTGAGAGGGGGGAGGGAAAGTAAGCACCTGTCCTAGGAAAATGCAATTATTAATATTTTTTTTCACATAGGTTTCTATTGGTAAGACATTTCCAACAATTCATTATAGTGACAAATAAATACTTCATTCATGCAGTTCTTTTGCTGGGTTCATTACTTCCATATGCAATGTCACCACCACCACCGTCTTAAAAAATGTCCATTTCTTCTATTTTCTTCCTGTTGTGTTTCTTGTACCATCCTGTTTTTCACCAGGAAGATTTCTTAATGGGAAAAAAACAATCAATTACCAGTCATTGATCCTGTGTCGGGGGAGACAATAGCATTAAAAATGCTTCATTTATGGCAGTCAAACTGGATTAAATTGGACATCTGAAAAGCTCTTTTTAAACAGTCTTCCAGAAGTTTGCCCTTTGGTAGATTCAGCTTAGACAGTGCTCAACCAGGCAGTCTGAAGGAGTGCATTCAAGGAGAGTGAACATTGGTTGCTAAGGGCAACCACAGTTTGAAGAATGCTGTGTTTTCCTAACCACTTTCTTGACATTTATACAAAAACCTGTGACAGGTAAAATTGAGTATAAGCTATAAAACAAAACAGAGGTTGTTTCTCTCTGTTTTATTTTTTCATAAAAACTATTTAGGTAATCCCCTTTCCCTGTTGATAGCTTGTAAACTTTAGCTAAGTTTAGCTTAGCTTGCAAACTTTCCAAAATTTTTCCCCTTAGTGTCCCCAAATCAAACTTACAGTTTGAATCAAAACTGTCGGTGCTCATACAGACTAAAGGTAAGTGAATCAAAAGCCCTTTTCTGTCTTGTGCTCCTGAGCTGCTTATAACCTTATATACAGTCTATGCTTATAACACATGTTAGCATGTTAGCTAGAGCTGGCTATGGCCTGGCTGACTAATCACTTAAGTAAGCCCTGTATTGCAGCAGCTCACCGCAATGCTGGGTTAATGGACCTCTGCAGGTTTCCACCTGACCACAGCCTGACTCCTCCTCTGTGTTTACGCGGCAGCCATTTTACGGATGTGAGCAGAGGTAATCAGACACCTGCGGTGCCGGGCTCTGCAGGTCCCCTCCCAGGAAGGGAGGTACCTGAAGGGAGGCGTCTCCAGACTGGGTAGACCAGTGAGACACCCCCAACCTGAGGTATTTCTTTCTCACACAGCAGCACACAGGGTTTTCCTGTTAACTGAGAGACAACTTAAGGAAGACAGACCCAAACTAGAAGAACAGTTTAATCATGGACTACAGACTGTATGCCAGCACATAAAGAAGGATAACCTACAACTTTATGGATAATACCGCTTAACTTGTCGGAACAGTTGGAAATACTTTGGTGAAAGGCAGGTGAACTCTGCTCTCCCAGGGAGATTATAGTGGGCCATGCTTCCAGCCGCTGAACAGCTTGACTTCACTTCCACCGTCATGGGAATCTTGCTACAACAGAGAAAAATTAACTGTACTATAATTTACAACATAAAGTCAGTAGTAGTCTTGATGTGATATTATAAAAGTCTACTATTTGCAACCTGTTTGTGTGTCACGAAAGAGGAACACAGGATAGTGTTGTTAGAATTGGCATCCATCTGGAGAAGGAAAAGAGAGCTGGGGAGATTTGTCCATACAAAGGCCTTTTGTTCTGGCGGTATAGGTGGAATAACAGCAGCTTGGATAACTGAAGGTGGGGAGATGAACCTTTTGTGACATTTTCACTGAACACTAGCTGCTACCTGTTTTGCTTTGCCTCTCTTTGCTCTCAGTTGGTGTGACACTTTGAACAATTATGGACAGTAATAATTCAGATGAACTGGGGAAGCAGCCCCCTGGTTCCATCAAGAATGTCTTCAGCAGTTTTTTCAGCCGGGATATATCTGCCTCCTCAGTCACGGACTCGGCTATACTGACGTCTTTCAAGGAGCTACCAGATGTGGAGGATCTTCTTCCTGAAGGTGGTCAAACTATTAACAGTGAGAACAAACTTCAAGGGAGGAAAGATATGCATCAGGATAATATGACTGCTTTGGGGCAGTGGGATGAATCATCGGAAACCCACAAGGAGTCGGATAACCAAGTAAAAACAGCAGCTGGAGCCTCGGTTGACCCAGATGTGGTCCAGGTCACAAGAGTAGAAACGTATAGTGACACAGAAAATGAGTATGAGGAGGCGGCCACAATAGCACTGGTCTGTCAGAGAAGATTACCAGGACCAGTAGGCCTTCTCTCCTGATGAGGACAATTATACAGGAGACCATGTTGATGGAGATAAGCTAAAAGATTCCAGTAAGGCTGAGGCAGAGTACCAAATGCCTGTGTTTAGAACACACAACCTTAAGGAGAAATCCCGCATAGAAGCTATTCTATATTCAGACAGACTCACCAGCAGAAAAATCTAGGACGGCACTTATCTCTTCAGTTTCCAAACACGACATGGCTGTAGTCCTAAAGAGAACACCACCACATTGTCTGTGGATGTAGAAACATGTGCTTCTAGTGAGAAAAGTAGTGACAATGTGGGAATGGATGAAGAAAAGTATGCTGGCATAGATTGCTCTCTGCCCACTTCTTCCATCATCTCCGGACATCTGGATTTGGAGGCTGCCGGTCAAAATGCTGCTATAGCCTTTCCTTTGAAGCATACAGGGCACCGAGATAGTACACAGAAGGAGGAGACATGTGAGGAAAGGGCTGAGACTGATGAGGGGACTGAGGAATCTTATTCCAGCCAGGTGTCCTCCTCTGTTCCATCCAGCCCCAAGACTCCTGAAGTTGCAGTCCAAGCTGGTATCACAAATTACGCTATAGGGTTTAAAAAACCCACGCCATTGTCCACAAAGACACCAGAGAGAAACACACCACCTCCAGTTTCATCTATTTCCCCCTCCTCTACCTCCTCCACCTCATCCCCATCCAGGGGCACGTCACTCTCTTCGCCTCCTTCCTTCCAAATGCCGGCTCTCTTCAGTGGGTTACGGGTGCTGAAGAAAGGAGCAGTAGGAGATGACAGGGAGACGATGTCAGAGATCAAGCAGAGAGAGAAGGATGCTGACCTGGCCCTGCTCAGCCTGAAGAAGACGGTAAACAAAGCCAAGCTCTTCCCTGAGCAGAAGACAGCCACTCCAGTCAAAAAACATGCTGAGCCTAAAACCATTGCAGAAACTAAAAGCACTGTAATGGGACAGCTCAGTCAGCTGCTCAACCTAGACAACCAGGATGAGACCAAAAAGGATGCTGATCCTGAACACAGCAAAAAAGAAAGTGGAGAAGAAGTTGTGGGGGAGACAATTCCAGGCCCAGGAACCCTCACATCCCCACCAGAAAAAAAGAAAACCTCAGACCTGGCCTATGAAACCTTCAGGAACATCTTTGGCCCCAAAACTGTCAAAATAGAAAAAACAGAAAAGGTGGACCTGGAGGCAGTGAAAAAGAAGATCAAGAATGACAAGGAAAACCTGCGGTCTATTTTTGAGAGAACCTCCAAATCCCCTGGCAAAGAACTCAAAAGTCCCACAGAGGCTAATGTATGAAAAATAATAATAATAATAATCTTTATTTGTAGAGCACTTTTCAAAAACAAGTTAAAAAAGTGCTTTAACAAGTGTAAAGACAATAATACCCAAGTGACAATAATACAAAAACAATACAAGATAAAGCATATATGATTTTGTAAGTGCTACGTGCAAAGATAGGGGGAGATGATGTATCATTGCTATGACGTTTTTGCATGTTTTTCCTCCCCACAGACGGAGGTCACGTCGCCTACAGACAGTGAGGACCGGACTCCAGGGCGTCTGCAGGCTGTGTGGCCCCCCCCCAAACCTAAAGATGAGGAAGAAAAGGTGGGACTCAAATACACCGAAGCAGGTAAGAACCTCAAGCTTGTTGCTTTAGACACTGTTGTCTGTCATCTAAGACCAGGAATGCTGACAGAGGATCATGCCAGTCAAGCTTACACAGACACACCTCACGCTGATGGGCTTTGTGGATAAGGGCCGTTGCTGATATCATGGTATTTATATCCTGGTATTTTGGAATGGATCTCTTATAAAAACACTGAAACAAAAGTAGAGCCACCACACGTCCCTCTAAGACTCTGAGGCAAATAAAGCAGAGCTAGCCAAGTATCAGCAGCAGGGTGTAAGACATCCTTTAAATCCATTTAAGAACACAGTGAGGCTGTGTCTGCACCTTAATGCTCCTGTTTGTGTGGTTGCTGTTTCGTAGCTCCACAGGATAGCACGTGTGGATGTTAGAGAGGTGAAAACATTTAATGGAATTCTGGGCAGCAGGAATACGAGGTATTTGGCCCACCTCGTAATCCAAAGATGTAATGACAAACAGATAGGTTTAAAGCACACACAGCTCTCCATGGGCTGATTGAACTGCAAAGTATAAAAGCCATTTCATGTTCTGGGTACAATGAAATTGTGTTAACTAAAAGCGTACCGTGCACAGCAACAGCTGTTGGGATGTTCTGTGTGGTGCCGCTTCATCCCTGAGATTAGAATAAGACCAGCAATTGTGGATTATTCTAGTGATTTGTGCTCCACGATCGGGCTTTGCGCTTGTCAAAGAGAACAGTGTGTGGAATTTGAGAAGCAGAGCAAAAGTCTAAACCAACACATTTATATCATATCATATTTTAATTCCCGCACTTTTATGGTACTGATTAAATGGTGTCAATAATGACTAAGTACAATTACAGTAGTTATCATAAGTTTTAACAATGTTACTTATTCCAACAAAGTGCTTAGGTGTGGGTCTATAGAAAGTCTGCTACGTCCCAAACAGGATCAACGTCTTTATGTGGTCTTGATTTTAGTCGTAATTCTAAATAGAAATTAGGACTCACAAATGCAAAAATGAGCCCCCAACTCAGCCTAGTCTTTAGGTAAATTGAAATGAAAGTTTGCCATCAGGTGACAAGACTTTGTGTAACTTGGTACGGTAGGATACCAATGGGTGATCTTTTTTTACTTTCACACGTCATGTTTATTAATACCAATAGATCAGCATTTTGCCTAACATTTCTGACAGTAGCATAGTTTAAAACTGGTTAGTTGAGTTTTAAATATGGTCCTTTTATAGTGTAAGTGACCCACCCATCTGTAGAATTATACCACTAAATGCCAGTACATCTGGTTGGGTTGTCTTGTCTTGCAGATTAGCTTGATAGTGATTTAACATGCTAATCTGTCTTCAGGAAAAATCACAGCTCTAAACCTATAAATCTTTTTGTCTTAGTCTGTAGAGCATAACAATATGCTGTGATTGTTGAACTGATAGCCTTCAGCATATATTTATTTGATCAGACTGCCAGCAGAATGAGTCATACAGGTGTTCGTGTTCTGCCTCCTTACAGAGCACCAGGCCGCCCTCTTGCAGCTGAAGAGAGAGTGCAAGGAAGAGGTGGAGAGGATGCATGTAAGTTATCACATGACTTTTGCAGACATGTTAAAACACTGCCCAAGCAAGGCAGCCTATAGCACCCTTCAACAACAAGGCAATTCAAAGTGCTTAGAAAGTTACAATATTAAACAGAAATCTGTTTTGTCCTACAGTTGACTCTCCTGAACACAAGATGGCACTAAGCAAGCATGAAATGTTCAAGCGCAGCAGTTGAACTGGTGTAACTCCACTCAGTATTTACTTGCATCACTAGATGTTGCATGTTTTACAGTTGCCCAGTATTTTGTATAAATTTTCTTTTGAATGGAAATTGACCAACCTGTCAGGTTAAGTTTTTTTTGTTTTTTTTAAAGTTGTTGTTTTTTTCTTTCCCGGTGAAACAGTATAGATGGGTTCAAATAGAAAAAGAATTAATCTGACTCAGATTTCTGTTGTCGAATGTGTGTCCTTATATTAGAGATATTGTATATGGAATTTGTTTGCAAGCTTCCAGAGCTCAGATGACGCATATAACAAATATATTCATTTATTTAAAACAAAACATAATCAAATTAAAACCAGTGTATGATCATTTAGTTAGTAAACTATTAAAATCTTAAAACATTGAATTATAAAATACTTTTTTTATAATCAATGAATGTCCTGATTATTGTCTCCTAATGTGACCTTTACCACTTTTATACAAAAAGTGAAACTGAACTTCATAATTTTAGTGATTCAAAACAGAGGCAAAATCTTACAGAACATGTTATGTTTCACTCAGTGTCAATTAAAAAAGATCTACAAGAGCGTGCTACCAAACCAGAAGTTCATGTTTTTGTATATAATAATGTAACTTCTAAATGTTAAGTCCTTGCCGCACACAGAAATCTGTGATGGACATCTCTCTTTCTTCAATATGGTGGCTCTCGAAATTAATTTTAAAGGTGACTGTTTCGTTCATCGAAAGCAGAGATTAGGAACAGTGTTTCCCTGTTGTTTTTGTTATCCATCTGTAAACTCAATTAGGACTCGTGCTGCATACCTTTGGAAAACCAAAAGAACATACTGTAGTTTGGCCATGATACATAATTTGTACCACTGATAAATTGTTTTATGGACCATTTCCTTAAGAAGTCTGACCACAGAATTAGTTTCTCAGCCTGTCTGCATAAAGCCTTTAATTTGACGTCAACCTTTAAAGCACTGATGCAGACACTGACAAACATGTACCACAGTCAGCCCACAAGAAAGGGTGGGAACGTGCCTAATTTTATTTCTAAACTGAGAGAAGTTAACAAGGAACATCTGTAAGATTTATTACAAAACAATTTCCTTTCTGTATCAAATCAATACTTCGCTTTGGCTGGATTGTTCTTCATTGTTTGAAATGTCAAATGAAAAATTGGACTTACCAGATTGTCACTGTGAGAGTCAGATATTAACCTCAGACTGGGGAAATGTAATAGCAGTGAAGTTAAAAACAAAGCTAAACATTTATTTTTGTTATTGCTCAACAATGACTCAAATTCATGTAGGTACACTGGAATAAATATACACTTAAAAGTAAGTTAATTTAAGGAAAACACAACACTACTATGGTTTTATTATATTACATTGATAGAAAATTTTTTAATACTGTAGATTTGTTTTGTCTTGAAATTCTGCTCTTGCTCTTCACAGTCTGACTTTGAGCTGCAGATCTTCCAGCTGCGAGGTGAGCATGCTGTCTCAATATCACACCTGGAAGGAGTCATTGCCAAGATGCAAAGAGACAGGGCCTACAATACACATCAGGAGCGAGGTGAGGTCTGCGATGCTGCTGTGTCCACTGCAGATGACCCGATTCCCAAGACCTGCCGCACCGTGGTTATCCAGACAGACAGGGAGACCTTCATCAAGAGCCCTGAAGGTGACGGCAGCGGGCTTGCTCAAAGCCCCAACCAGAATGTGCCGAAAAAACTCATCTTGGACTCTATCGGACTAAATCTAAAAGCTGAAACAGCCCCAGGTCCTCCTGGACCGCCGCCTCCTCCCCCTCTCCCACCAGGCCTCTCTGGACCACCACCACCACCACCACCACCTCCTCCTCCTCCTTTGCCAAACAACATGGGAGCACCGCCACCACCCCCACAACCACCTCCTCTTCCTGGAGGTGGTCCACCGCCCCCACCACCACCGCCTCCCCCTCCTGGCCTACCTGGAGCTGGTCCACCTCCTCCTCCTCCCCCTCCTCCAGGCTGTGGCCCTCCCCCTCCTCCCCCTATGGGGGGCTTTAGCCAGAAGGTGGATAAGGCCCCACGGAAACCTGCCATTGAGCCGGCCTGTCCCATGAAGCCTCTATACTGGACCAGGATACAGATACAGGACAATAAGTATGAATTACTATGTATTACTCATTACAGTTGATTACAACTTGGGTCTAATTTTCAATGTTTTGGCCATCATTTCATTTTGTAATAATAACATTATACTCAGCAAGTTAATTGCCGAAATCTGGGAATGATGCTACATTGCTATGAAGAAGTACAACCTGGCAAGAAACACGAGCACTCAGATGAATGTTTCTTGTTCCATTGGACTTCGATATAGCAATGTTGCCCTTTTCCCAGATATCAGAAATTACTTTGGTGAGTACCATCTTATTATCACTGATAGAAATGATGGCAAAACACAATCATTAGTAGCACACAATGTCTGTGAAGGTTCTCAGTCATCCAGCTAATATGTAACAAGAAATTGCAGGTTTTAGGTTTTAGGTCATTCAGAAACATGTATCTTTTATGTTTTGTCATTATGTTAAAAAAGAAATACTAATGGCTGATAAATCATTGTATAGATATTTTTAGCTTCCAGATATTTAGAATATCAGATTCAATAATCCAGTATCTGTCAGCCTATATTAAAGATCCACACTAGGACAACTATCACTATTAAAATATTCAGAATGCACATGTCATGTGACTTGTTTACATTTGATTGGATGATTAACGTTTCAGTGCGTTTGGTCTCATCTTGATTTTAGTGATTGTTTTGGGGGATTACTGCAGAATGCCTGCAATGAGGTTCTGAAAGCAGGGGGTGGGACGAAGATTTCCAATACTTGAAGTTGCAAGAGTAAAACTGTTATCCCAGGGCTAATGAAGCTTCATTGGCCCTGGTGTTTTGGGGTCTTAGTTTAGCTCTGAACACTCCTCTTCAGAGAGATATCATAGATGCGGTTGCTGTACCAGAAACTCTGTAATTGTAAGTGGATTATCCAGCCCATTTGCAGTGGCTGTGGTTGTTGCCTCTGAGTGCCAGGCTTCCAGCTTTATGGCCTTGTATTTCCATGGCTGGATTAGTGGGGGAAGCTGAATTGTGGTTTGCACTCTCTCCCTGGTCCTGGCCAGCGCTGGAGGACTGTCTGACTACACTACAGCAGTTTCATGTCAGCTATAAATTTAACTGTAAAGGGCTAAGTTAAGGGGCATTAAATGGGTCAAATGTTTAACTATAGCTGGATCAGCTGTGTGATCTCTGTTAATGGTGTGAGGTTCTGAGTTATGAGGGGGAACAGTGTAAGGTTTGAAATGATGCCAGGTGTCTCAATGTAAGCTGAAACACAAAGTACAGTTGGCAACATGCGGGACTGACTTTCTGGGTAAAAAGGAAAGGCTTTAAGGGGATTCAGATTCAATCCTAGTCATAGTCTGGTCAATTAGACAGATATCTTGCATGGAAGTATTTCTTGGGGTTTGGATGTAATTTTCTGTTCCGAGCTAAATTCCTGCACAGTCTTTTTTCAGAGTCGGAGGCTGTTCACTGGACTTATTTTCCTCAGTCTCTCAGAAATGAGTACAAAATCAAAGGCGGATTTTGGGACAGTATCATTATGTCCTCAACAGAAAACCTCTTGGCTGCCCCAGATAAATACACTCACCACTGCAAAAGGAAGCCAACTGCATGCAGAAACAATTGAACTTACTCGACCCAAACTGAGTCACTGGCAATGCAGTTGATTGTTCTGGTATTTAAGCCATGATAAGCCTGCCAGCACTTGTGTTTGTGTGTTGTGTCCAGGTTCTCTTTCTCATTGTAAATGGGCCTTGACTTGGGGAGATTGACCTACCAGTCTCATGAGCTCACAGATGAACACGGCAATGTGATGTAGAAGGTGGTGTATTATAGATGTCATCACTCCAACACATTTCTTTTAAAATAAGTGTATTTCTTAGTAAGACTGTAGATTATGCTCTTCATGTCCATTTGATTAACAGACATGGGGAGGAAAAGCAGAGACAAATGTGTTGTTTTAGCGAACAGAAAAGTAGATGTGTTGGTAACAGCAGATTGCTTTGCTCCTGAACATCCTCTTGACTTTAGACACCTCTTGTTCTTATTTTCTGCCTCTGTTTGTTTTTTCCCATGTTACTCAGCAACTTCTGGAACACAACACTGCCTCCTTTATTCTTCTTCATTTGCTGGAAATGGTCCCTTTATTATAGAAACAAGCTTGTCTTAAACTTTTGTTATTTTTATCACCTAGCTCATAAACACTGCTTTTTAAAGTTAAGATTGCGGCCAAGTTTTTGCCAGACAGCGAAATGGAAAAAGAAAAACAGTGGGCAAGTTGAATAAACATCAAATAAGCTTCCACAAATAGAACACACAATTTGTTTAGCTCAAGGGAAATAACCTACATGTTTCTGTCACTGTGACTGTGTTCACATATTTAGCACCGTATAACTTCAGTTTTTATGCATATACAGTATCTCTCAGAAGTGAGTACACTCCTCAAATTTGTAAATATTTCATTATATCTTTTCATGTGACAACACTGAAGAAATTAAACTTTGCTATAATGTAAAGTAGTGAGTGTACAGCTTGTATAACAGTGTAAATTTGCTGTCCCCTCAAAATAACACATCACACACCCATTAATGTCTAGTGAGTCCACCCTTAAGTGGACATTAACTAGACATTAGACCGCTGTGGGCTGGACTCACTTTTGTGAGATACTGTATTAAAGCTTAAAATGCATAAAATTAATCACAGACTAAAATCTTAACTTCTTTTTTCCAGCAACAACACACTCTGGGGTTCTCTGGAGGAACCAAACCTCGTCAACGCCAATGAGTTTGAGGACCTTTTCTCCAAAGCCACACTACAGCCGAAGAAAAAACCCCTGTCGGACACCTATGAGAAGAAAGCCAAAACTAAGAAGGTAAATTCAGTTGCTCCCTCCTCAGTTTGGGTTATATCTTCTTATTATCTCAGTTTTTCCTTGACATTGTTTGTGTGGAAAGCGTTTTTTTTGGATTTCAATCTCGCAGCAGCCACCTGAGGGCGTTGTTGGCATTGCTTTTGTTCTGGTGTCATGTTCAATCATAAATCAAAGAAACAAATAACAAAAGGTAAGCTGGGGAGAAATGGATTGTGACTCTCATCAGGTCTTCCTCAAGACTGTTGTCTGCAGGTGCCAGGTCCTGCACTGGGCCAACATTGGGCTATCAGTTTATGAGTTCACTCGTTTGTTTTTTCTGGACATGCCAAGCTTACTATGCAATATCTGTGCAAGTCAAGTTAAAGTTTAAGATGAAACAAGTTGACAGAAATAAGAAAACATCTGCTTTGTGCCAGATTGATTTACCCCCCACACCACCACCACCACCAACAAAGACACACTTGTTGATGGCCTTGTCAAATGCTGCAACTCTGCACTTCTGCTGCAGCCAGTGCCGCGTCAGCATCCTAGCTGCCTTGCAGTCCTCGCTGTGGCGTCCAAGCAGTTAAAAATCGGCCACTGCCCCAGACGGGCCCCTCTAAATCCATACACATCCCCTATTCTGATCAATTTGTCGAGGCTCCACTCTGCTCCAGAGGGCCTGTGTGTGTGTGTGTGTGTGTGTGTGTGTGTGTGTGTGTGTGTGTTCTTCTGTCCCTGATCTCCATCCTTAGGTCTCTTGATTCAGTCTGGTCACTCTAAAGCAGCAAACTGTCCAACATTTGATCCAACTCAGACAGCCACATCCAGACACAAATCCTGCCAACTGTCTCCTGTCTGGGCTTACATCAGCCTTGAAGAGGTTTGACCCCACTAATGGAAACACTGTTGAAACAAATTCATATCAATCAAAAAACTCCATGTCCAACATGTTTGTTTTTTTTAGTTTTGTTTTCTTACAGCATTTAAGAGAAGGACCTTTATGGTTGGAGTTGATATCTATGTTTAGACATTTTGTCCCCAGCACTGATTATACAGGAGTCTTATATGTAATATAATGGTCTGTGTTTAGAGCCAGCAAGAGCATTCAGAGTCCAACTCTACGATTAAAGAGGGAAAGTGAATACGTGAAGGCATGGTTGTTTTCAGCCCGCTTAGAAGTCCAGCTCACTGGAAAGGTCGTCAAAATAAAAGAAACTTGTTTACGTGATCATTTTTTATCTCTGAAAGTTTATACTCTAAGTTAAAGAGAGAGAAATCATTTGAGCGAGAAATCATCTGAATCACCAGCCGATGATGGCTTCCAAGAAGTTCAGCTGGTTAACGGGTGGGAAAGGAAGAAAGGGGGGCAAAGCACGAAGAGAAACAGATTTTGTTTCGGGGGAAGGGTGGGTAGGAAGGGATAAGAGCGGGGATGAAGACTAGGTGCTACTGAGTTAAGGAGGAAAGGATCATAAAGATGGACTGAATGAGCGGAGTAAAAAAGTGGATAAAGACAAATAGGATAGGGAAAATGGGGAGGGTGTGTAGGCAAAAAGTCAGCCACCAAGCAGAGAACGGAGCTCATATTTATCAAACTGCAAAAAGTAAACTAAATTGAAAGATGAAATCTCTCACTTTTACTTAAATTCACAAATTCTCTTATTTGCAATCCCTTTTTATCTCATTGGATGCTACTTGTTAATTAATTTCAAGAGTTAATAAAAACAAGAATAAAGAATGAATTTCATATGAAATAATTTAAGAATTACGATTTGAAGATTTTACACACTTGAACTTAAAAAATATATATAATTTTACAGGGCTTTGCCTTTTGTCTGATTGCTTACTTCTCTCTAAGCATACATGTAATTAACCACATGGTCACTTTAATGCTCTTCCTACTCTTCGCTGTCTCTGCCAGCACACTCCGAGTCTGCACAGAACTCACATTTAATGTTGCCAGTGAGTCTGTGTAAGGGGAAAGTGTGTTTCAATTACCATGTTTGTTTGTTTCTGTGTGTGTTTGTGCATGCGCCGGCATATGTTTGTTTCTGTGTGTGCGTGCGTCAAACGCTTGAGTGCACGTGTGTGATGACGGCACATCCTCGCGAGCCGTTATGCACTTGCTCAGAAAGTGTTGCCAGATCATGCTAACACCATAGCCCCGGGGGCCTCTGTGCGGCGAGTGGAGATGAGTGGGAGGGAATGGAATGTGTGTGTACATTATGCATATGAGCCACTTCCCCCCGCTTTCCAACAACTCCACACGGCAAAAGTTGAAACTTGGGGGATTGCAGCCGATGCCTACATGAGTGAGTTAATCTATATCATGTGTGCCATAGAAAAATCAAAGCTTTGTTTACTCTGGAGCCCTTCTTTCTCTCAATGATTAGCATATCAAAGCAGAGGAGATGACATGGAAGAGAGCTCTCCCACCCGAGCAGACCAGAGGAGACCGGACCGGACCGGACCAGGGGTATAATTGCAGGCATGTGGCTCCACTCCACTGGCTAGAGGAGGCAATGGAGACAGGGCACCTATAGGCGTGGGGGAGCGGAGAGGATGCGCATGTCGGTGCATTCTTGATTGAGGAATTAGGAGGAGGGGGAGAGATGGATGAAGGTGAAGAAGTCAATCAAGTTATATATGCTGTTTGTATGTCAGTAAACACAAACGGCAATTTCTTGTACCCACTTACATCAAACATGAATCAAGTTTATACATACCAGATCTCCTTAAACAAACAGCAGATTTAACCAGTCTTTGGAATAACTTATGAGCAATCATAGTGCGTTTATTAAAGACATATTTGAAGCTCTGGCTATGACGTGGGAGAGTGGGTGTAAGACATAACACCGCTGGGTGAGACTGGGGTTGTTGAGTGTATTGTAGGTGGTTATTGATGGGAAGTCTTGATCCAGTTGTTATTGTAACATCTGCCTGGGTGATTCCAGACAGATAGTCAGTCAGACAGACAGTCACCACAGAGCAGGCTGGCTGCTCAGCCGTGGCTATGTAAACTATCCATTTGGCTCTGAACCTGCATCACCCTGCCTACCTCGCCGAACATCAGCCACCTGCTTCAGCTCAAATGGCTGACACTCCCAGTGTCTTCTTCCATCATTTTGTTTATTTTCCTAAGCTGCTTGCTTTTTCTCCCTCTTCTTCTCCTCTTTCCTTTGACCTGTCTGCGTTATTCAAGTGCCCACTGCAGTTTCACATGGAAGCTTCAGAGTGCCTTGACTTCACTTTTTGTCCACCGGAGGGAGACGTCGGCCATTGACGTCTACCTGTCTCAGCATCAGCATCAAGCGGCTCCCTCCGCTTGTCCAAGCTGTTTGCGCCTCTGAAGCCAAGCATCCAGCATCGGTTGTCTTTTCTCATTAACGTAACTGTTTTGGCTAATTGGCGAGTTCTGCAGCCACAGTGAGCGGGAAGGGTTCCTGGGCTGCTTTTAGTGTGGCCCGTCCAAAGTGGTTAATTAGAGGTGTTGGGAAAGCCTGGTACTCAGCCGTCTCAAGTCCTTAGAGTGGGAGATCCCCAGTGATCCAGGTAATAGAGCTGGAAGCAGCATGGCACCCACTAACGCCCTGTAATGCAATACCCACTTCTAAGGCTTCTGCTCTCCAGCTCCTACTGGACAGCCCAGTAGCCGACAACGCCATAATACCTAATGAAGAAGCCTGACACATTAACTTTTAGAGCGGGGCTTTGCCTTGCCAAAACTCTCTCTGGCTTTACGGCTAATTCAGTCATAAGTAATTGTGACCATGTGTAGGCACAAATAAAAATCCTGTGAATTTATAGTTTGTTATAAAAGCCCTGCTTTTCTTTGCCTTGCTCTTCTAGACTGTCCTTTTATGGTGCCACTTTTGCCTTTGTACTTTCACTGCGACTTGATATTTTTTGATTATATCTCACACATGTTCTTCAGTAAACTGGAGGAGGTGCTTTTCTGTTTAACTTTGCTCCCTCATTGATGTAACTTGACAAAGTGTGTCCCAAAGTGTGTGTGTGTGTGTGTGTCTTTTGTGTGTGTGTGTGTGTGTGTGCGCGCCGTTGTTTGCATCATGATGATGGGTTCTGACAATGTGTGATGATTTGTGTATTTGTTTGGGTCAATCCAAATGATTTCCAGGCTGCTTAGCCTAACTGGGACTTCATGAGCTCTGTCTCGCTCATCATCTATCATCCGCTTCCACAGCCGGGGGAGTGATTTTTACCCAGCCTCTCATCACAGAAATTAACTTTTTATTCACCATCTGTTCCTCAATTTGTTTTATGTCAGTGTTTGAATAATAGAATTGATGATAAACTTGGGTGTGAAGAAGTCTAGGGTATAATTTGAATTAAAGGTATGAAGTCGTTTTAGATAAATGTACAGAAATTATGTTGTGTCATTCTTTAATTAACATGAGAAAATATAAGTATAAAATTCATTTAACATAAGACAGTTAGTCAATTTAAGCCTGATTAACTGAAATATATGCTGTGGTTTTTACACTGAATCCCACTACTACTCTTGCAGCAATAACAATTAACAATATGTTTATGTTTTTTCAGATCATCAAGCTGCTGGATGGGAAGCGTTCACAAGCAGTGGGCATCCTCATATCGAGCCTGCATCTGGAGATGAAGGACATTCAGCAAGGTGAGAAATATGTTCCGTTCAATGTGTCTAGAAGCCTGTGCACACTAAGATATTTAAATCTCTTTCAGGGAAGAGGTTCTTATTTAGATTCGACAGTAATAAGATCAATTTACAGTCCCGTGTTTGCAAGAAATTGTGGATGACTTCTGATGAAATGTAGATTAAGTTATTTTAAGAGATGAGATAGCAAGCCCTGCAGCGGAGAATAATTTCTGACCTCTTGACAGCTACTAATTTGTAACTAGAGACTTTTGGGATTTATATGTGTTTATAAGTGGATTTTTCCAGTCACCAAGGGGGGAAAGAAAATGTCTCAATTTGTCAAAATGTGAGACAGCTACACTGGGATGAAAGGAGCCTTTCACTTTTTCTGTCAGGCTGCTTAAAATCCTTCCTGCACTGGTAAAAATTAAATTCCCATCTCTTTCATTTGAAGAGCTGCATGGATTCATTAATCTTTGGTTGATCTGTGGAAAATGCAGGCGTGTGTGTGTGTGTGTGTGTGTGTGTGTGTGTGTGTGTGTGTGTATGTTGGGGACAGCGTAGATGGGCCAGGAATTGGTCCTGTCCTGGGACTGTGGCGGAGAGAGCCTGCCGCCTGCTAGTCTGAGCATGCGGCCAGCAGATCTGTTTATTGTAGCCAGTGACGGTTTCCACAAGCCTAATGGGACTGACACCCCACTAATGATCTAAGCATGTACAAAACCACCTTCTACACTTAGCAGACACTGTGCTACCACATAAAACCACCTCAAACACAAACCAAACAGCACATAACACCAGGACGCCCATTTTGTTTAGATTTTCCCCTTTCCCTTCAATCCTTTTCCAGTGTCAGTTTGTAGAGGTGGT